TTACAAGATATATTATATAATTTATTAATAATATGAATGAAAATATATCTATCTCTCATCTATATTTGATTTTTAAAATTTAATTTTTTATTATAAATAAAAATGAAAAATAAAAATTTTTTTTGTTCTATTAATACTTATTTATTATTAATTATACTTATTAATTTTTATTATATTCATTTTTTGTTTTTATTAAACTTTTGAAAAAATACCATTTGCTGATCACTGCGATATTCTATACTGGAATCATACCTTGTCAACTCGTAGCTTTTATTAACCAATATTTTTTAATATCAGCAAAAATGTGTGTAAATATGAATATATAAATTTCAATCATATAAAGTTCATTAAAACATAAATATAAATAATATTTTTTAATTCATGCAATGAACTAATAATTTATTAAATAAAAATTAATACAATTCGACATACAATAAGATGTCTTTTCATTGAAATATAAAATTAATGTAATTCTAAATATAATAAAAAGCTTTTCATTGAATAACTATATGTTAAGAATGAAATATAAAAAAATATAAATAAATTTATTTTTCAATTTTAATGATAATGAACAAGAATTAAGAGATAAATATTTTTTAAATATCAATACTATTTTATTCATATTATTAAATATTCCAGACATACTAATAATAAAATTTAATCATTTTTATGTATGCAGATCCTCCTGTTGACAGCGTATACATGATATGTGGTGTATTGATCGCTTTGGTGTTAGTCGGTGTTATCATCGTTCTACTAGCTGTAACGATCAGGTAATAAAATACATACTTAATATTTTAAAAAAGATTGCAATATAAATACAATATGAATATTTTTAAATATCTAACTATCCTAATAATTAAACTACAATAAAAGAAAAGAGTAATTCTACGTAAAAAAATAATATTTTTGAATAAAACAGCCGCAAAAACTTCTTATCTTATATAACATTGATCACTTGTCAGTTAGATATGAATAAATAATTAACAGAAAGACATTATATGTATAACAATGATCAGACGTAGAATAAAATTTTTTTGTTCAATTTTTATTTGCTAGAAAATTCAGTTCGAATATATTCAATCAAGAATTACATAAATTATATATAATTATATAATTATATAAGTTATTCAAACTTTTTAATTTAATTTTTTCGAAAACTAGCCTTAACAATAGCAAATTTAATGAAATGATGAAATTGAATGTAATTTTAGAAATATATATAAAAAATGGAATTTAATTAGTTTCATCTTATTTTTTATAAAATATAATAATATAATAATATTGATAAATATATTTAATATAATAAATATACATATAAAATAAAATATGTATAAAAATAAGAAACAAATTACAATAAAATAATATATTAGAATACAGAAAATAAAATTGAATAGATAAAAAAAAAGTTAAAGAGGATAATCATTCTTATTTTGTTATTTTCAATGAATAAAATTGTAGTATTTTAATCAATGATCTTGAAATAATTTTCTTTAGACTTTGGATCCGTCAAGTCTGATTCTCATTAAATCTTGAAATAAAACAATATTTTTTTTATGGTTTTTACTCACTTTTTTTTACGTAGTATCACTTTTTTTCTCTTTTTTAATAAATACATAATGCATAATACGGGACATCTTGTATTAATATTGTACATCATATTTATTTTATCTATTTATTTATCTCTATACATATAAATACATACAGTATATTTCCGTTCAAAAATTTTGATACTTTTTTTTTTTAATAAAACTTTAATGTCTGTTTATCTATATAGTTTATCTATATAGATCAATAATATTAAATTGTGTGCATTTTTTTTTTGTTTCTTTTTTATCTTATTTTATCATATAAAATAAATTTCTCTATATTCAATCATAATTTAATTTTTTTTTTTCAGTTTTGAAGTGAATATAATAATTTCTTTAAATTTTTGAATGTGGATGTATATATATAGATATCTTGTATTAATCAATTAACGATATCTAAATATTCATAGTATTTTATGTGTAAAATAAAAATAATTTTTAAAATTTTAAAATTAGCAATTCAATCAACAAAAATATATTAAAATTACTGGTATTGATACACTTCAAGAGCTTCTTTTCAAAACGACAAAAAACAAAAAAAAAAAAAAATAAAAAAAGAAATAAGATAACAAAATTCATCCAATAGATATAATAATAAAATTTAATTAATTAGACCAGAATGAAATTTCAAAAAAAACCTATAAAGGAAAAAGATATAAAATATATTGAAAGAAATGTACAATTGGATGGAGTTCAACAGTCCTTTTAAGCACGTTAATCATGTTTCATTGAACATGCATCAACAAATAGCGTGCATTCATCTACTAAAGCTCTATCCAATTAAGGTCATATCTTTCTTTCTCTTTTCCTCTCTTTATCTTGCACGCATGCGATTTATCTACAAATAACAATGTATTTGGTTCAAACTTCTATCGAGTGCAAACACTACGTCATAGTATAAAAAAGCAGTCAACAAAGAAATAATGTCATTAATTTATGTTGACGTTATATGAACAAAACAAGTAAGTAAATAACCTAATTGAAACTTAAATATCAATGATCAAGAAAATGAATGTTTTACAAGGTGATCCACATTAGAAGTGAAATTAAAAAAATGAAATCAAATTTATTTAAAAGTACAAGGAAACGAAATAAAATTCTAATAAATTTTCTAGTTACGATTATTTTTTTTAATTTGATAATTTTATTGGATGTTCGTATAATGTCTATTACATCATTTTTCAC